GGCATAGCTATTCAACTATAGTACTTCTTCTACTTCATCTTTTCTTCTATTCTATTAACTTCATTTCCTCTTTTCAGTTACCATCGTTATCAATTTTTCATTTTCCCTCCTCTCCATACTTGCTCTCCATACTTGGCATTCAACGACGGAGTATGAAGCGTAGGGTGTTTAGATTGGCTTGGCCTCCCTTGCCTTCTTGAAAGAAAGTACAAGTTCAAGAATACGAATGCTTCCTTTCTATTGGCCTAGCTCTCATCTGACCTCTGCAGCTCCATGCTTTGTCAACGCTGTTGGTTATATTCTTCATTTTACCCCTGAATACACCGAAACAACTTTCCAGACAGTCGTTTTCCATTGCATACAACGAATGATACGGTGATCCTTCACAGTATGATTTTTTATTTCCTTAAAATCATTCATTATTGTTAATGTTGGGATTTCAAAATAATCTCATGAAGCATTGAAAACTTACGTAGTAACACCTTCAACCGACCACTGTGGGTTAAATGATATCAGGATACTCCGTACTGTGGCAGCAGAGCTCGATCACACTAGCGTCATTGTTTGGGACCAACCAATCGAAAGCCCCAACAACACATTAAGGTTATGGCACGTGACGTAGTTTAATCCATCCATGGATGCAAGTTATCTCAGCAAGCTCAGCCGCTTCGCAGGATAATTGCTGTTTTATTAGTTAACTAACACTGATTTAATGATTAGTCACTCTTTTAAACAAGCTAATCTCAAATTGGTAATGAGCTAACCCAAATAAGTCTTTGATCCCGTGATGTGCAATTATCCTGCGAAGCGTCTGAGAAAAAACGGTTCCAGTTTGTTAGCAACACGGGAACGATTTGCTCTTTCCTTTAGGTATGGGTGAGAATACCAAACCAACTCCATCTATTCAGCATCTCTGTACCACCTTGGGACCTAGGAAAATCAATATTTTATGATGGTATCAATTTTTATTTTCATATTCCCATTTCTTAGATATGAAGTATCATCTCAAAGTCAACTCATTTTTTTTTAAACACGGGAACAATCTGCTATTTACTTGATTTCAATCAGAAAAAAAGTGATAATTTTCAACAAGATACATCTATATTAAATATTGATTTTTTTAATATAAAAATTATATATTTATATTCTTCTTCTCTTTAGCTACAAGCTAAGGTGGTTCACAAATATCAAATATGTATGATGATTGTGTAATTGAAAGTCAAAGTTGAACAATTTGAATAATCTATGAAAATCTTAACAATCTCCACAGAAGGATGAACCATTTCTTCTCAGATTCTCTGACAAGGATTGCTCTGAGCACATGACTTGTAATTAAAGTAGTTTAGTGTCATGCTGCTGCAACCGGAGCCATAGAGGGTCTGAGCTCGCTGAGATAAGATGCAAGTCCAAAAGTTCTTACATTTTTTTTCTCCGTCATCAGATGATACAAGTATTGAGGCCAGATAATATGACCGTCTAGGGAATCAAGCTCCAAACCAACTAAAAGGCGGAATCGAAATTGAGATGATGCGGTTTAAAGGGAAGGGGATCCTCATATATTTCATTTATTATTCGTTTGAATTTATCATGGCAGTTTGAAATCTGGCCCTCCTTGAGAAGTCTCCATCTTTATCTATCCATAGTTTACCATGCGACCCCAAATTCGAATACCCATTCCGTTCCTTCTCCCTTGTAGCTGCCCTATATCAGCATCAACATCTTCGTCGTCAATATCCTCCAATTCCTTATTCCTGTATGCTCCCAATTCCCGACTGTCACAATGGACATGTCACCAATGTCTGGAGCAACGTCGCGTGCAAAGACATCAGATCGCCCACCTTCTTTCGCGTGAATATTCAACGACTACACCACAGTTTCAAAAGTTCAATAATAACTGGGGGAACAACACCAATGATAAGAGGCGGCCTAGAAGAGCGTTGCGATATGCCGCGGCAGGGGGAACGTTGGGCGCGGCCTTGTTCGCGTTCTCGGACGATTTGAAGCATGTATATTCGGCGGCGGAAAGGACGGGGAGGGTTACTGTTGCGTTGGCCGTTTGCATTAACGAGTAAGTGGGGGATCCTCTTATGCTTGGGTTTTGGGGTGGTTGTTTGCTTTTTACCGGAATTTGAATCAAAAAGAGCGGGAAGGAAATATTAGACTGGGCTAATCTATTTCGCTTCTGTATAGCTATCGCAAGACCTTAAACCGAGATTCGGACTCCGAGGAAGAAAAAGCGGGGTGGCTGAAAGCCTGCCACAAGCGCTGCGCGCAACGGACCCTGCGTGTGCTGGAAAAGAATGGATCAATATTCATCAAGCTGGGACAACACTTGAGTAGCATGGGTTATCTCTTGCCACTGGAATGGACTACGACATTTATCCCTCTGCAAGATAAATGCCCGGTCTCTTCGTTTGAGTCAATTGAGGAGATGTTCGTCAAGGATACTGGCACACACGATCGACGAGCTTTTCTCGAGTTTTGATAGAGTCCCGAA